CACTGTAAAACAAAGATATAAAGTGTGCTCATTATGCCACTGGACTTATGCAGTGAATCCTGCCATGTGTGTGAGGAAATGTATTTTATAACTTGGTGTAATGAGAGGGAACAATGGGCTCTTCTCTCATGGTTCATGGACAGGCAGGCATTGACGAACTTAGGCTTATGTTTCATAAAACATCCACAATGTTAGTTCATTTTGTATTTTGATTTCTATTGGTTTCATAGGTTGCTGTAATAAATTGCCCATAAAAATGTTGGATTTGAAGCAACTGAAATATTTTCTCACAGGTCCAGAGGTCAGAAAACTGAAAGCAAAGAATCAGTAAGCTTTATTTGTTCTACAGACTGGAGGAGAATCTGTGCTATGCTTCTTTCCTGGCTTCTGGTGTATTCTTGGCACTGCCTCGTGTGCCTTGGCTTGGAGTTCCATCACTCCCACCTCTGCCTCCACCAATGCAGAGTTTTCTCTGGGTGTGTGTTTCTTCCTGGAAGGACACAGATCCTTTGATTTAAGGCCCTATTCACTATGACCTCAACTTCACCTAAAACTGCAAAACCTTATTACTACATAATGACACTGTCTTAGATTCTAAATGTACATGAATTTGCAGGCATCTATTCAATACAATATAGTCTCTGCCCAGAATCTCTGATGTCCTTTGTCACAGATGGTCACAAAATGTAGCAATTCTTTAGCTTTCCAGAAGGTTCCAGAAAGGTTACAAAGACATTATTCCCTTGGTATTTCTTCTTCTTGATCTCCACCTATCATTTATTTTCTTCTCTCAATTAAACTCATTTCAATAATCACTAAAGTGTGTTATGGTATTGGGCTCAGTCTTTGGGTCTTTATTCATTTATGTTCATTTCTTTGGTGATGTCTTTCAAGGCTGTGCCTTCAACCAAACTTGCACATATTTCCCATATAGATCTTTTTATTCTGCAACTCTCTCCTGGTTTCTAGATTCATTCATCCAGATATCTTCTCAGCTACATCTAGATGTTTTAATAAAGTCACATAAGTTTTGATATTCACAAGTACACATAAAGCTTAATTCTCCCCTACTTTTCCCCATCTAAGTAAACCTTACCATTGCTTAGACAAAAAAAAAATGCTATTATCTTTGACTCACCTCCCTTTCTTACTGTTCTCATCCACTTCATCATAAAATATGATTTCATTCATTACCCATAAAATATGTTTAGGATCCAGATTTTTTTTTGCAGTACTCACACTACCACTGCCTCAGACCTTCAAATCTCAACTTGGATTGTGGCTCATACTTCCTACCTGACCTATTTATTTCATCAATTGCTGCCTTTGAATCTGTTTTCAACATATCAGTCAGAGTGATACTTTGAAAATTTAAGTCATATTATGAGACTTTGGGAGGCAAAACTTTCCAGAGTTTTCCTACCTCACTAAAGGAAAAGCTAAGATCTTACATAAACTCAGGAGGTCTCCATGATCTGCCCTTAACCCTCCTACTGTGTTTCTGTCATATCTACCATCACCCTCGCCCTTTCCTTCTCTGCTACAACCATGATTCACTTCCCTCAGTACATTTTCCACTTCTGCCAGTAATAACCAATACAAGAAGAAACAAATCACAAGCCTCAAGGAGTTTGTCTCTCCTTTCCTCAAAATATACTACAGTGGTGCCAGCTTCTCCACTTTGTAAATCTTTTCTGACGTGCTTTCTACCCATTCACTGATGTAGAAAAAATAAAAATAAAAATACATCTATGTTCCTTCAAATACAGTTCTCAATATAAGTGGCAATTCCTTCCCTGCAAGTTTGACTGAAGGACACATTCCTAAATGTGTCCTGAAAGTGGCTGTTTAGGAGCTCTCCAGAGTTCCAGAGAGCCAATGAAGATCTCCAGAAGAAACTTAATTTCTAAAAAGACAAAGGAGATGAGAGAGACAGACAGATAGACAGAGACAGAGAGACAGAAACAAAAACAGAGACAGAGACAGACAGAAACAGAGACAGAGACAGAGTCTATTTCTAGTTCTGTCTTCCTAAACCAGAAATAAAAATTATAAACACAAGAATATTTAAAAAAGGTTTTACATTGTGATGGACAACATTATGTAACACTATTACATGATTATATGTTAATTTAAAAAATCATATATATATATATATATATATATATATATATATTCAAAGTAAAATATATAGCCAGAAGTAAATCTCAAAGCCCTTTACACATCGTAAAGCAAACACAATCCTTCTCCTTCACCGTCCACAGCTCTCGGCCCTTGTGCTGCTCCTATTCTATACACCTGCATACGCATGCGCCTATACATATGCCCCTTCTGGGGACTTTCCTCATAAATAAATCATCTTTACAAGTTGCTCAGCATCTTGTGTTTTTCAATTTAACATTTTAAAAATCTTACTTTGTCAGGGCACACAGAACAACCTTGTTCTTTTGTAAGGACAGCTTAGCATTCCAAAGCATAAATAACTCACGGTGTGTTTACTTATGAAGCTCTGCAGAGCCACTGAGTGGTTTCTCTACATGCCTAAAAACCTGACGCCACCAGTGGACTTCCTTCTCGTCCTGTGTCATGACTGCTGTATATTAATCAGTTGCCTTTATGAGGTTATCATAGCAGCCTATGACAGCAATTTTTTTAATGTTATTATAGGTATGTACATTTATGTAAATGAATTTTTTGATACCTGAAAAAAGTCAATACAAAATTCATGATTTGTAAAACAATTGATTTTTAATTTTCAATTAGAGTTTCACATGTAAAGTCAATATAATGATCTGTTTACTTGGAAATAGCATTTGTAATTTAGAACTGATGAAAACTTTCACTGCTAAAAGTTTACAGAGTATACCACTTTAACCACTATGAACAATAAGCTTTCCCTAGTATTTTAAACTTTCCCTTTTGTAAAGCTCTGAAGCATTCTTTCATAGCTAAAGCAGGCATATCTTGGATTTCCTTGAGAAATTATTTCAGGCATCTCTGCTCAGAGGGATATGGTCCTTCCAGCCCCAGAAAATTGTATTCTTCAAAGTTAACGTGGAAAGCCTATTAAACAGGAATAAATTAATGATTCATAACCCAAGCCCCATCTCTTGCTCTTTCTAGCCCAAAATTTACTTTCAGATCTCATCCAAGGTTGTGAGAATAATACAATTCTGAATTCAAAAAATCTTCAAAATTATAAACCGAACACCAGAGCTAATTTTTACATTGTGGAAGAGGAAAGAGTTGTGATATATTAATTACTTTCTAAATCCATACATAGAACAGAACAAAACAATACAAGTAAACAAAGCAAAATGGGCTTCCCTATGAACTAGTCTTTGGTCAGGAATAAATGAGCCCAGTGTCATCATTCCTTTGGAATAAAAGTCAATCACTAAAGGTGGACTTTGCCTCACTACCTAAACTCTAACTTGCAAGAATTATGCTAAAATAATTAATATTTACTTACTTTCCTTGTAACTATAATAAAAAGAACCTTTTGTATATTTTGTTATTATCTTTCCAAGAAATGCATGAATAGGACTAAAAATGAATTAGATTAATTTTTACTATTCAGTCATTCCTTTTTATTAGTCTACCTCTATTTTTTGATTCATTTTAATAAGAAAAAGGATGAAATAACAATGAAACAGTTTCAAAACAGATTATTAGGACAGTTACAATAATTAATATATTGCTTATTATTGTCTTCCTAGTAGTTATTCAGAGGACAAGATGCAGACATGATGTCTTATTTAAACAATATTAGTACAAACCTTTCTTCTCAATGCACTAAGAGAAAGCAGCTGCATATTTATCCTAACTATGTTGTATATACATATATATTTTTTCACAACAAAATGGTCCTTTATTTATATCCCCTTTTTTTGTTTTATTAGATGTAGGCATCCCAAATTATGATAAGGCAGTCTCATATCATAGTTTCTCCACTTCAATGCTCTTGACATTGGGACCAGTAATTGTCTCTTAGAAAACTTTCCTATTCATTACAGAATATTTAGCAGCATTCCCAGCCTCTACCCACTAGATGCCACTAGGATCTTCTCAGTTGTGACAATAAAAACATCTCCAGATACTATTACTAGAAGAATTTGCGATCAATTAGAAATCACTAGTAGACTTTATTAAATATTACATTTTCTGTAACAAAATCTTTTTTGTTTCCCCACTTACCTGCCTACAAACTGGTGGCAGTTCTACTCACTGCTACTTTTGCCAGGAAGTGACTCGTAATATTCTTAATATTAGCCAGGCATGGTGGCACACACCTGTAATCCCAGCACTAGGAAGGCTGAGGCAGGAGGATCATTACAAGGTCAAGTCCAACCTGAGTTACTAAGGGAGCTCAAAGCCAGCACAAATTACATAGCAAGAACCTGTCTCAAAAAGACAAAAAGAAAATCTTAATATTCTTTCTACTTCCAGGAGTAGGAATCTAACAGAACTGTTAGCAATAATTTCCAGGCTGTCTTCTAAGAAAACACTTTAACACAAATTCAGTTTCCTCATCTATAAATAGGAGCTCATAATAATAACTATCCAGTCAAGTTGTTTTGAGAAATAAATGAATTAATGCATCTAAAACATATAGTTGTTTCTAGTCTTTAGTAAACACTACACTAAGTATCAGTGAGTTTCAGCCTTACTGGATTTTGTTTTATTTTGGTGTCATTAGGTGCTGGAGATCAAACCTGTGGCCATGCACTTTAGGCAAGTGTTCGACAGCTGAGCTACATCTCCAGACCCCTGGCCGCATGCTTATCATTCATTCTCTTCTATTTAAGCCCCCAAGCAGGGGAAATAGGGTGCTAATATGGGCCTAATCTCACCTCCTGGCTTTGTCATCATGAATATTGACTTTAAAGAGGAAGTACTAGAAGAGGTGCATAAAAAGCTACATCTGTGGTTTTAAATTTTCTAGTTAAATAAACCATTTTATTTATAGTTCCTTTTTGTCATTTTTAAGAAAAAATAATGGCACTTATATGTGTTTTTCTCTTACTTCTGTGGACTAAAACCTAAATGAACAGGTGCAAAACATAAATCCACTTTGGCAACCCAGAAATCGTTGTTTGGTATGATTTTTGATACATTAAGGAAAGAATACTACTGCTAGGGGCAGTGGGTACAGATCTGCGATCGTGAGGCTGAGGCAAGAGGAGCTAAGTTTGGACCATATAGTGAGATTGCCTCAAAAAAGAAAGTAAAAATAAAAAACTAATGATTACCTATGCAAATAAAAATGATGATGTTAGTGAAACAAAGAAAAAATAAACAATAAAAACAAGGGCACAAAATTTCAAAACAAGATAGTAGGAGAATAACAATGGTTAGTGTATTATGTATTCTTATCTTCAAAGTAGTTGCTCCTATTACAAGGTATAGGCATGAAAAATTGATCAAGCAATATAAGCACATACTTTTCCTTTCAATGAGCTAATACCAATTATAAGTATAGCTATAATTATCTTATAAGATAGCTTAACTATCTTACTGCATATATATGTGTATATATTATATATGTATGTGTTTATTTATGCCTTTTCTTCCTTCTTTTCTTTTCCCCATCCCAGCTTCTCTTTCCTTTTGAGAATTTAAGAAATAAATGAAAGCAGTGTTGTTTATTTTATCCCAATATATCTCAAGTTTTACAATTCTAATATAGAATATTAATGGCACCTTTTACATTTTTTCTGCTTATAATGCATTGCAATCTAAACTAGCACGTATCTAAGCTACTTTGTGGAATAGCACTGAATCATAGTGGAGACAGAGCACAGGGAAGGACACTGTGCGTACGAAGGGCTCTGCCTTTCCCCCTGTATTACGTGCAACTTACGTATGTAAAAGTCTTGCCATACTCGTTAGATTGGATCTGCAGCTCAAGGTCTCAAGCCTGTGAGTCATTGTACAGCATACACACCTGAAAAGGCCCTACATTTATCAAACAAAAGATGAGTACAAAGATGAATAAATGCATGAATGACTGGGAGAGTGAAATAAAATAAAAACCAAGTAGCAAACTGCATATTTTTTTCTAACCTTGGAGAAGCAGATGAATTTGAAAACCCAAAACCTGTACAGTAAGATCATTTGGATGTTGAGAAAGGAGCGTCAGAATCATAACAGATGCACAGCTCGAGTCTTCTGCTGTCAATCTGATAAAGTCTTGAATGTTTTTACATTAAAAATGCACATTAGAATTTTTTATGTATTCACATATCCCAATAGAATTATTTCGTTATATAAAATTCGTTTCTTTTTTTCTTTGAGTACAGCATTTCAGGATTTTTTTTATCTCAAAATATTTCACTGAAACAATAACAAACATGGATTATTAATATCATGGAAATCTGAACCCTCAGTTAACATTTAACATGAACAAATATTCTCAGTTACTTGAGTTATTTTGAGTAATATTCCTTAGATACTGCAGTTCTTAAAATGTGAAGCCTAAACCACGCTAACAAGCACAGGATATGATGAAATTATAAACTCTTTTTATACATTTTGTACTTTCAAATCTGTACATAATACTAAATTTTAAAAGCTGATATTATCAACCCACTTTTATGGGTCATTTTCCAATGAATGTCTACTAATCAGTCATTGCCTAGCTTCTAGATATTGCTATGGGCGCCCAGGTTCACATGAACTTATACATAAAACTGAACCTAAATACAGGCTCATCTGAGTTCCTACTAGAACTTAACTAATTAATTTGAGTTTCTATTCCCAGAGTTTTGTGTCAAAGTTCATTTTGACTCTGACATCTACATTAGCTCATAGTTAACATTTCCAGGCTTATGGCAATCACCAATCTCATAAGGACATTCCCATCTTCATCTAACTGTTGTGAAGTGCCACAAGATACAGAAGTTTTCAAATACCACGTGCATAAGAATCACCCCAGGGAGCTTTTCTAAAGTCAGTCTACCGAGCCTCCTCTTCAGAAATTCTGATTTGGTGAGTCTGTGTGGGTCCTAGGATCATAAATTTTTAAAAAGTACCCACAGGAATAAGTAAATAAATAACATTTAAGGGAGAGTAAGCAAAGTCTCTATTATTTATTCAGAGCTTGCTATAATGAGGAAGTCAGACACCAGGGTTTGCATTTGGAAAAGACTTGAAGGCAGGCAGATAGAAGGAAATCTTGATGGTGGGATAAAGGGAGGTTTCTGATATGACCTGATTGGAGAATGTTGGCACAAGGAAGCCATAAGCATGACAGCAAAAGCAGATTATCCTATGTGATTGGTAAAAGGTAAGTGTTTGACCTTCTCCAGTTGGTCCTAACTTGGAATCAGGGGTAAACATTAGAGGAATCATCAATTATTAATACAATTCAGGCCATTTGCATCTGATTTGGTTACTGTCTTGCCTCCTGAATTATTGCGTCTAAGTAGTAATCAACTTTCCTGGACTGGCTGGGGAGATAGCTCAGCAGTCTAAGTGCCTGCCTGGCAAGTGCAAGGACAGTGGTTCAATCCCTGGTCCTGCATTGCTCCAGGCGCGCTGTACGGACCACAAAAACTAGGTGTGATGATGCACACCTATAATCCCAGAACTGGGGAGGCTGAGACAGGAGGATCACCATGAGTCTCAACTGCATAGCAAGACGCTGTACCAAATAAATAGAAAAAAAGATTTAAAGAAAAACTTCTGAACTGGCTACTGTAAATAACAAGTTGTTTCTCAGAGAGTTTGATGCGGCTTGTGAATTGTTTCTACTTTTATATGTAGAAGAATCATTGTCTATTTGTATATTGTCTTTTATAACACAAGACACTTTGATATGAGAAGTTCTCATAGCATGGTACAAGTTCTCAACATGCTTTCTTACCTTCTTTTTTGACTTTTATTAAATCATGTTCTCAATTACTTGACACTTTCCTATGTAACCCCAGTTAATAAGAATATTAAAATAGAATGACAGATTGGGATGGTAATCATCCATTTGTGTAACCTTTCTCAATTAAATATTTTATACTTTTTTGCACATCTATTTCTCAATTTGCCTTCATTTAGGAAAGACAACTCAGAGTTGTCAGGCCAGTAGATTCCATTTATATATGATATCTTGTCTATCATATCTTCAAGGTGGTTGTACAAGAAAACATGAATGGGCAAAGGAAAATTCAGGAAGTTTTTCTAAGCACATTCACTATCAGAAAGATGAAGAATGCATTAAGGAGAAATTTATCTTGATCATATAAAAAATACATATAATTTTTATTTATTAAATTCTCTGACCATTGTATATCTCTTATAATATGGACATGACATCAAACCTGACAATACGAAGTGGTAGTTAGAATGCAGAGTAACATTATCACGTCCTGGTGGTAACCCGGGTAGTACGGTCACTTTAGAAAACACTTTTCAAGATTGTTGTAAAATATTAACTTACATGCTAGTACTACTATGATTTAACCTATAGAGGTGAGAAGGTATATTCTCACAGAAACTTCTGTGTGAACATTGACACTCACTTCAGTCATTACTCTCCCAGATGGGAAATGGCGTAAATGTACTTTAATGGATAAATAGATAAATAAACTGGGTTACATACATGCAATAGAATGTTGTACAACTTTGAAAGGGAAAATTAGTAATTGAACAAATAACACTGATGATTCTTTATATTTTAGCTAAGTAGATGATATATAGTACATGAGTGCACTTATAACGTAGAAAGTTAAGACTATAAAGATGGACAATAAATCAGTCGTTGCTAGGTGTTTTAGACTTAAGAGGAAAGGAAATTTACAAAGGCAGAATCATGTGAATACACGGTTCCATACATATTCCAAATCTGTGAAAGTATACACTACAAAGAGGAAATTTTCACTTTATATAAAATTTTAGATGAGCCACACTGTAGAAGGAAGCCATGGTAGAACATAGTCTATAACAAATAAATCAAACTATATCATAAATAAATAAGCACAAAACATATAGTGGGGCAAAGAATGCTCTATATAACTCTGGGAAACAAAGTTTGACTAGATAAGACAAGGCTTAAGACAAAAACGATGGTGCCACATAAAATATCCGATAATTTTTTTTTCTCACTAGAACTTGGTGAGAACTAAAGATCCTATGGTGATTTTATGAATAGTAGAGTCAAATAAATAGGCAAGTAAATGACACATAATGGAAAAGGAAAGAGCTTCAGGTCCCACTCTTGAAGGACAAGAGTATAATTTTCCTGTAGAAACCAGTGTGTTTATGTCTAGAAAATGGCAAAAGTTGATCCATGATATTTGAATCCTAGAAAATAACAAATTAGTGCAGATGAAGTGGGCATTGCTAATGATGCTACAAATAATGTGGGATGTGCTTCTTTTTGTTTTTGATTTAGAGCCTGCCTACCTATATTTTGAATGGCCAATGATAAGATAAAAATGTAATAAACTGTTACAATTATCTCAAAATAATAGCAATAAGTAAAATCATCAATCAAAAACGTGAAAGTTGAGATATCCACATAACAAGATCCTGCTCCCATCCATTACCAAGCCAGCACCCTGATCACTGAGGGAGATAGGAAAATCTAACAGAGCCAGATGATCAGTGGTGATGATTTTCCTGGGATTTCGGGGTTATAAAAACAAAATAAAGAACCACTATAGTAGAACCAGAATGAGCTTGTTCTTCCCGTTATTACTGGCATAGAAGCAATGAAGAAAGCTGTCAGAGGAATGTCTCCAACCTAACATCAATCAGGAAGCCTCCCCCCTTTTCTTCACTCTGCATCTCCCAAGGGGGTGTCTGCCTGAGAGATCCTTCCCTTCTCCTAACACTTATTAGCCATCTGCAGTTTCCAACACACGGAAAGCTTTCACTTCAGTTTTAAGCCCTGGATCCTACTCTGAGTGCTTTGAGTTCCCACCTAATACTGGATTAATGAGTGTTTTGTCCTTCATAATACTAGAATCCTATGTAGAGGCTAATTGCCACCAGAAATGTGAAGAGGTCAGTGAAATAACCACAACACTTTAACCACTCACCACCTTAAATTCAGAACTGGTCTTGCCATTTCCCTACATTGGAAAAATAACTTGATAAGAATCCCTTCTTCTGTTCACTCCACAAGAATGTGCAT